TCCGTAGAGGTGTGGTTTCCTTGTTTAGCGATACACAGCGAAACACATCCAAACTCATCCTGAGCACACACAAAGTCACAGCCGAAGTAAAAACAATAAGTGTGGCTTGATATTGAGTTGGAAAAAGGTTGATAAACGCTGTGAGAATGGGTCTGCAGAGAGAATTTTGCCACGATCCCAACTGTCTGTTATCAGCCTGCAGCCAGGGAGGAGAGATCAGCAGAGCTGCCTGCACTGAGTGTGTGTGTGAGGAAGTCCGTGGATTGGTCAATTTGAACCAATCAGTGGGGGCTTAACGTAACGGCTCCGCGGATTGGTCCATTTCGTTCCGGGAAACGCATGACATCATGAGTTACCCGGAAGAATCAAATGGACAGTGACGTATCTCCAACGAGACGTTTTGGGGAGGTCTTCTCTGTGTTAGAGTTTTACTCGCTACAGGGTGTACTTTGAGGGTTTTGACTCTGCAGACCGTTTACATGCATAAAAACCTTCATAACACACAAGGGGACGGGTGATAAACGGAAAAGCATGACATGTCTCCTTTAAGTAATTCATATTACAACTGCTGCTGATTCTGTTATATTACAGTTATCACGACATTTGAAGGTCAACCCTGAAGTTACGAAGAAGCATTACTGAAGTTTAAAGAGGGCGACTTTGTACTACTACTGATAATAAGAGAGTTATCTCCCTCTTGCAAGAAGATCTCTATTCAAAATAAATATTAAAAACCTAATTACTCTCTATAGATCTGTATCTATATTTCCTTTTTGCAACGTTATATGTTCCTACTTTGACAGTCCAGGTTAAAAGTATGTTAAGCGTATATTGTAGTAGCATACATACACGTACATTAGTTCTTCCTTGCAGTCTCCCCTATAGCTTGTGTGTACATGTGTTGGCACTATTAAAGCATGTTGTGTTCTGCAGGTGGCCATCAAACAGATCAACTTGCAGAAGCAGCCGAAGAAAGAGCTGATAATCAATGAGATCCTGGTCATGAAGGAGATGAAGAACCCCAACATTGTCAACTTTGTAGATAGGTAACGCTGACCCTAACACACGCTGTACGCACAGACATACCGTGAGTCCACTGTGTTGTGGTTGACTGTGTGTGTGTTTTCAGTTTCCTCGTAGCAGACGACCTCTACGTGGTGATGGAGTACCTGGCGGGTGGTTCTCTAACTGACGTGGTGACAGAAACCTGTATGGACGAGCCTCAGATCGCCGCCGTGTGCAGAGAGGTAGGACTCTTCAAAGACGTTTTAAAAACTGCCAAAGCACGTCATGATTTATATATCGTGCGGACAATGAAGGGCTCAATAGATCCCACCTATTTGATATTTTCTTGAATATAATGTACCTCTGTTATTTATTTGTTTGTCTATTTATCTGATTATTTGTCTGTTTATTTATTTGTTGTTTTATATTTTTGTTTAGTTTTTGAATACCAAATGTATTTCTTTAAGAAAAAAGAAAAAAATATATATGTTAGTAATTTAGTTTTTGGGAGAAGGGGTGGGATTAAATAAGTCTAAACTTCTTCCCACCCCTTTTCGGATGTGTAATTAAGTCGATTATTTGTTTATATATAATTTAGAATCATTAAATTTGACACTGATTACATTTGAATTGTATAATAATTCTCATGTTACATTTTTTTATTATTGTTTTACACATTCGAAATAAATCAAATCAAATCAGATTTTACCGGACAATGGAACAACATGTTAACATTTACTAACCTACCAAACCGTGGGGAAATCAAAACTTTATTCCTTCTCATAAAACATTTGCAAAGACAATTTTGTATTCAATGTTTAGAACCTGTGTTGCTGACATCCATGTTTACTAGCTTGCAGTCAGATTTGTATTCCCTGCATATTGCTATGATCCTTGCTCACTGCTGCCACCTGGAGGTCACTTGAATTGTGTGCACCGTGCTTTTAAAGGTCACCTATTATGCAAAATCCACTCCTTCATGTCTCTTCTACATCAACATGTGTCCCCTCTTCTTCATGTCTCTTCTACATCAACATGTGTCCCCTCTTCTTCATGTCTCTTCTACATCAACATGTGTCCCCTCTTCTTCATGTCTCTTCTACATCAACATGTGTCCCCTCTTTTTCCTATCTCTTCTACATCAACATGTGTCCCCTCTTCTTCATGTCTCTTCTACATCAACATGTGTCCCCTCTTCTTCATGTCTCTTCTACATCAACATGTGTCCCCTCTTCTTCATGTCTTTTCTACATCAACATGTGTCCCCTCTTCTCCATGTCTCTTCTACATCAACATGTGTCCCCTCTTCTCCATGTCTCTTCTACATCAACATGTGTCCCCTCTTCTTCATGTCTCTTCTACATCAACATGTATCCCCTCTTCTTCATGTCTCTACATCAACATGTGTCCCCTCTTCTTCATGTCTCTTCTACATCAACATATGTCCCCTCTTCTCCATGTCTCTTCTACATCAACATGTGTCCCCTCTTCTTCATGTCTCTTCTACATCAACATGTGTCCCCTCTTCTTCATGTCTCTTCTACATCAACATGTGTCCCCTCTTCTCCATGTCTCTTCTACATCAACATGTGTCCCCTCTTCTCCATGTCTCTTCTACATCAATATGTGTCCCCTCTTCTTCCTATCTCTTCTACATCAACATGT